TGGAATAGCTGAAGTGAATGGAAGAAATAAAGAAGTCAAGACCTGAACAGAAAATTTAAAGAGTGGCTCATGAAAACGAAGTAAAGTATTATAATGAAACAGGCAAAGACCTCGAGTTAGAAACTGAAAGGGAGGAATATGCTTGGCATTTCTCAAGCTTAAAGAACCAAACAAAAAATCCAAGCCTTAAGTTGCAATACTGAAGGAGTCTGTGGGCCAAAATGGTGCTGGAAGCATCAAAAGAAGATGAAAGAATACACACTCATTGTACCTAAAAGAGTTCAACATTCAGCCCTTTTAGGATAGCATAAGATTAAGAACCATTGGCACTGAAGGAAGAAGTTCGAGCTGCACTGAAGGCATTAGTGAAAAACAGGGTTCCAGGAAAAGACAGAATACCAATTGAGATGTTGCAACAAACAAACGCAACACTGGAAGTGTTCATTTGTCTTGCCAAGAAATACAGAAGACTAGTGGCCAGGTATCAGGCCAAATGACTGGAAGAGATTCATTTTCTGTGCCCATTCCAAAGAAAGGTGATCCAACAGAATGCAGAAATTGTCAAACAGTATCATTTATATCACACACAGTAAAGTTTTGCTGAAGGTAATTAAAAAACAGTTTCAGGAGTACATCAACAGGGAACTGCCAGAAATTCAAGCCAGATTCAGAAGAGGGCATGGAACAAGGCATTTCAATGCTGATGATCAAATGCTGGTGAGTATGTGGAAAGACTGGGTGAGATTCTCATACTCTGCTAGTGGGCCTGGAAAATGATTTAAAAAAAATAAAAACCACTGTGAAAAATGGTATGGCACTTCCTTAAAAAGTTGGAAATAGAAATACCATTTAATCCAGCAATCCCATTATGAGGTATATATCCTAAAGAAGTGAGAGCCAGGACATGAATAGATACATGCACATCCATGTTCATCGCAGCACTATTCACAACAGCAAAGAGAGGGAAACCACCTAAGTGCCCATCATTGGATGAATGGATAACCAAACTATGGTACATACATACAATGGAATATGTGCGACACTAAAGAATAATGAAGAATCCGTGACACACCTCCTAACATGAATGAACTTGGAGACTATTATGCTAAGTGAAATAAGTCAGCAACAAAGGACAAATATTGTATGAATCCACTGTTGTAAAAGTCAAGGAAAGGTTTATACATGGAAGGAAACTTTCTTTGTTGGTTACCAGGGATGAAGAGGACAGGAGGGAAAATTACTTGATAGGTAAAAGACAAGTATTGATTTGGATGAAGGGAAAGACAATACACTAAAGTGAGTGACCAGCACAATAACACTAAGGAAAAGGAAGATATGGACAAGTGCACAAGAGGTACAGAAACAAAAGTAAACACTTTCACATCCACAGTACTACATTAACAGTAATAACAAACATTAATCTATGAGTGGATACATAGGTAAACAGGCTAAATGATCAGGTATGGGTAGGCAAAAGGGCATATACCCACAACCATATATAAGTTTGATAGATGATATTTCTACATATGTATTTGTATTATAAAAATGTCCATATATAGAGCTAACAGGAGGAAAGTTATAACTTCTTAGCCACAGCCAAACACCTTGAGGGAGTGAGTCACTGGTCCCATGGACTCGGGACCAGAGTTGCAGGGACATCAAGCCCAACTGGCATAACATATACACAAAAAGATTGTTTTACATCCAGCTTTGGTGAATAATGACTGGGGTCTTAAAAGCTTGCAAGGGCCATCTAAGATGCAACAATTGGTCTCTCCTTGTCCAGAGCAAAGAAGAATGAAGACAATCAAAGATGCATGGAAACAATTAGTCCAAGGGACTAGTTGGCCATGTAGACCTCAGCCTATATGATTCTGAGACCAGAAGAACTAGATGATGTCTGAATATCAGTGTCAACCACTTGGAAAAGGATCAAAGTAGAAGATCCTGGATAGAGTGGGAGAAAAATGTGCAACAAAACTCAAAATCATAAAAAAAAAAAAAAAAAAAACACCAGACTTACTGGTCCAATAGACTCTGGGAAACCTCTGAGACTTCATCTCACATAATTTGGATATGTTAGTAGGAAGGAGTAGTCCCTGGAGAAAGGAGTTCTGGTGGTGCAGTGGTTAAGGCATTTGGCTACTAATCAAAAGGTTAGTGGTTCAGACCTACCAGCCTCTCTGCAGAGGAAAGATGAGGCAGTATGCTTCTGTAAAGATTTACAGCCTTGGAAACCCAATGGGGGTTCCTATGAGACAGAATGAACTTGATGGCAGAGAGTTTGGTTCTTGGTTTTTGAGTTCCTGGAGAAAGATATTATGCTACTTTGGTAAGAAGGCCCTCAAAGAGATGGATTGACAGTGACTGCAACAGCTTCAAACATGGCAACAATTTTAGGATGGCACAGGACCAGGTAGTGTTTTATTCTATTGTACATGGAGTTGCGGTAAGTGGGAATGACTTGACAACATCTAACAACAAAAATATTTACAAAGTAAGTGTATAATCCAATGTAGTAGAAGAAGTTCAGAAAGTTTAATTGATCCAGTGGAAAGCAGAAAGGAGAAAAGAAGCAGAGGAAAATCACACTAAAAAGAGTACTACATGTATTGAAATGTAATAGTAATCAGAATATACTTTTCCCAAAAAATAAAACTACAAAATATTAAACGTGAGAAATTATAACATATCTGGAGATATTTTTAATGACTTTCAGAAGGAAAAAATGGTTTAGGACCATGACACGAGCCAACAGAATCAAATTTAGTCTCTGCTCAAAGAAGTATATGACCAAGTCAAATCAAAAGTATTACAAGTACTCATTAAATGTTTTGACCAAATTAATTAATAATTGAATGAATGAAAAATGGTTCTTACTATCAATGGGTTTATTATCATTATGAAAAGAAGATTTAAACATATGACACAATTAGTGAACACTGTTGAGTACAAAGTTCAAACTATGTAGTAGAGAGAAAATGTTTAGTTCAGAAGAGAAAGGTTGGTGTGGGATGAAATAACAGTTAAATGTAGGTCTTCACACATGTTATGTGATTTCATTTATATGGAAAGTCTGGAGTAGACTAGAGACACAAAGTAAATTGATTGGTAGTTGTCTGGGGCTATTGTGGGGGTGAGGCAGGAATGAGAAGCAACTGCGAAATGGTATGGGGTTTTGGGGAAGTGATAAAAAGGTTCTATAATTAAATTGTGGGAGCTCTGGTAGCATAGTGGCTAAGACACTTGCCTGCTAACCAGACGGCTGGCGGTTCAAACCCACCAGCCACTCCTCGGAAGGAAGGTTGGGCAATCCTACTTCCGTAGTGATACTGCCTTGGAAACCCAAGGAGGGGTCGCTATGAGTCGGGGCCGACTTGATGGCACATAACAACAACAACAACAATTAAATTGTAGTGATGGCTGCACAACTCTGAAAAGACTAAAAACTAATGACCTGTATACTTTTAATAGGTTGATTTTATGGTATCTGAACTTTGTATTAATAAAGGTGTTTTAAAAAATCAAAACAACGCTGTTAGGTAGAGATAAGTATTGATTTGGGTGAAGAGAAGGGCAATGTACCAAATGTCAGTGACCAATATGGCGGCATTGAGGAAGAGAAAGACAGAGAGAGGTACATGGGAGGAACAGACGACAAAGATGAACATACAGTACTGCATTGTCAATGAAGGCAAACATGGGTATATGGGTGGTTAGATGGGTGGACAGGCTGAACTATTAGGTACGTCTTTGAAATAGGGAGTGTATCCAAGA